AATGTATGTATGTAATGTATGTAATGTATGTAATGTATGTAATGTATGTAATGTATGTAATGTATGTAATGTATGTAATGTATGTAATGTATGTAATGTATGTAATGTATGTAATGTATGTAATGTATGTAATGTCTGTAGTGAATGTACTGTATGTAATGCATGTAATGCATGTAATGCATGTATATGTAATGTCTGTAATGTATGTTATGTATGTAATGCATGCAATGCATGCAATGTATGCAATGTATGAAAGGTATGTAATGTATGTAATGTATGTAATGCATGTAATGCATGTAATGCATGTAATGTATGTAATGTATGTAATGTATGTAATGTATGTAATGTATGTAATGTGTGTAATGTGTGTAATGTGTGTAATGTGTGTAATTTTGTGTAATGTGTGTAATGGGTAATGTGCGTAATGTGCGTAATGTGGGTAATTGGGTAAATGTGTGTAATGTGTGTAATGTGTGTAATGTGTGTAATGTGTGTAATGTGTGTAATGTGTGTAATGTGTGTAATGTGTGTAATGTGTGTAATGTGTGTAATGTGTGTAATGTGTGTAATGTGTAATGTGTGTAATGTATGTAATGTATGTAATGTATTGTATGTAATGTATGTAATGTATGTAAGGTATGTAATGTATGTAATGTATGTAATGTATGTAATGTATGGTATGTAATGTATGTAATGTATGTAATGTATGTAATGTATGTAATGTATGTAATGTATGTAATGTATGTAATGTATGTAATGTATGTAATGTATGTAATGTATGTAATGTATGTAATGTATGTAATGTATGTAATGTAATGTATGTATGTATGTATGTATGTATGTATGTATGTATGTATGTATGTATAGTTTAAGTAGATGTATTTGTATATGTATACACATTCTACATGTGATATTGATTCCAGTATGTTTGTATACATGTTTTGAGGATTATCACACGGGTTCCTCCCAGGATTTGTCGCCAAGTCCTCGCTTACTTCCGGGAGCTCTCGGGCACTGCCGTCAAGCCGCGCTGCTGACATGTTGACCGTTGAAGCCGACCACACTCCATTCATGGAGCTGGTGACATACCTAGACCCTGAATCAATCCTTCTAAAATGGGTTAATCTATGTTAATCTGAAGTGTTCGCACTTTTGCTACTAGCACCATGAGTTTTATCTAGTTTTTGCCGTTTCTTGAGCATGACTGGGATGTTTTGGGCGAACATGTTGACAAATAATGTCAAATATAGAACAGCCCCATGGATGGTGCTGGCTACAGGCACAGCAGCAATAGCCTTTGAATGACCTTGTGCTGTGGTGCGGTGTTCGCCGGCTGATTGAAATGTGATATGTATGTATACATATATACATACAATGTTATATATCGCTATATATATATATATATATATCGTTATATATATATACTGTACTGAAAAAATGTATCATGCATATAAGAAACATGTACATTGATTGTCCACAAACCTAGATCCCTTGCCCCTAGCAACTAGCGCCCGCTCTCCATGGGAACAATCAGCAGATCGACCAAATCCCTGTCAGACGGCAGGTTAATCGCCTTCGCAGAAGTTCCCAAGCTTCCTAAAGGAGCTTGCGTCACCTGGCATTTGCTGTGTGGCACCGGGCAAATGATCTTGGATGACTTGGACTTTGGTGATTTGTTGAGAATTCCTCGAAAAGTCCGAGTGAATTTGATGTTCTTTCTTTGGATATATTAGAATCAGAAACTCTGGCAATCTGAAATAGTCGTGGGGCTAGTGGCGTTTTTTTGTTTCAGGCTGGTGAAATGGATGTTTCCTAATCATCCAAATGATCATCCGGTCATTGGATCAGTCATTGGATCAGTCATTAGACCATTGCACTCGTAGTTTTGAAACAACCATGGTGACGACTGGGGAACCCCCAAGAGCAATTCTCTTCCAGGTGGAGATGACAGTCCTCTGCAGTCCCACAGCAAGTCTGGGGGACTCCCACATCAAGATCGTGGAGGCAGCAGCCACGTTGGGTTGAAGACCTGGGGCTTGGTTCGTTGAAGATGTCGCTTAATTTAATATACAATATCATTGTCGTATATTAATAGATATTAATAGTACATAACAGTGCTTGTTACATGCTATTACTTGTTATTACTGGTCGATAGCGATGAATTGAAATCGCGGGTTTTCCACTGGTTACTACTGGCTACGTCCATGGTGATTTCACCATGGGGTTTTCAGGTTGCTGTTGGAACTAACGGAACGTTTTCTTCGTCACAACCTGTAGGCAAGCTGTAAGGCAAGTGTATTTGACAATGAAACCAATGGAGAAGAATGTGACATGTAAAGCCAGTAGCATGAATAGTAATCCACACCTACATGATGTGCCAATGATTTTCAGGTTTCGTAAACCTCAAACAGCTGGGCTTCTTCGTGGGTTTACCACACAAGACAAGATTTTCTTTGAGTGCATTCACCATGTGGTGCAACTGGAATGATGTGACAATAAGTGCACTGGTGACATCTGGTGACCACATGTAGTTTTCACCACGTTGATGTCGTAGGAGTAGAACCTGCGGATTTGGTGCACATTTGGACCATGGTCCCGGCACTAAAGGCAGTCGATCTGCGGCATATTCCAGGTTCCAAGGTGGTGCTATAACTGCCATCCCAGTACCAGTTCTATCCTGATGCCTGGGTGATATTTCTCGGCATCTTGATGGAAGAAGAATGGCAAGAAGAGTATTTGACAAACCCTACTTACGATCCTATGCGTTTCTTCCTGGCGTTGTAAGAATATGTGATTTTGATGATAAAACATGGTAAATCCCTATTCTTTGGTGCTCAACTGGCCAGTTGAACCCCCTTTTTTTCCAGTTCAATCCTAAATGTTGATGCTTCATTGTTCATGCTAAAACCTTGGGTAAGATAACAGTTCCTATGGCAAATCTGCATTTGCTAAGTTGGGTAGATCATCAAAATAAATGGGCTATACCATAGGTGAGCGAAGTAGCGGAGGCTATCTTCAGTCTGAAATCCCCATGGATCACCAAACAAAAATCCTAGAAAGTTCAATCCTATAAAATAATCTAATTTCCCATGAAAATCCCATTAACATCCTATATGAATCCCATGAAATCCCATGAAATCATGCAAAAACCATCAAAAACCCATAAAATCATATAAAATCCAATAAAACTCATATAGAATCCAAATAAAATCCCATTTTTCTCCCATGAACTGGTCCCGCCTCCCGGCCAGGCCGCCTCCGTCAGCAACACAACAGACCTCGCGGCCGTGGTGAGAAGCTGCGTCGAAGCAATGGCCAGGGCCCCCCAGTGATGTTGATTCTGATTACCTATCGAACCATAGGGTTTTTATGGGATTTTTAGGATGTTCATGGGATTTGAACGGGATTTTCATGAGATTCAACAAGATTTTGTGTGGGAATTTAATGATTTTATGGGATTCTTGGGAGATTTGATAGGACTTAATGGGATTTTGTGCGATTTGAGGCCCCTAGGTATGTTTGCTGATTTATACACCCCAGCAAATATATTTTCTATTTGCTATAAACTCCATTGAGATATCAGTGAACTGAACCAATTTAACTGACGTTAGCGGGGCCCACCTTGTATTGATGGTGGATGGTTGATGTCATGGTATTTCCTGCAAACAAGAATGGTCATAAGATGTTATAGACCAAGAGTTTGATGGGTATTTGGCCCACCAAGAATGGGATATTAGCTGGGTCAACTGGAGTAGTTTAGTACAAGTTAGTCTTTTGCGAACTAAATGGCAATATTTATAACCAAGTTGCTAAAGATAAACTAAGATTTGTGGGAAGATAAGAATATCCAACTTAGATGATTATAGTGTCTCAATGGAAACTTTTCCTAGTGGTAATGATTGTTGCAGAGTGTCCAAGATTGGCCATGGGGGAATCAAGAATAGTTGTTTCATGTCGTTTCTCCATTGAGTAAAATGGTGAAGCCGGGCTGGTCGTTCACTTGAATGGCCCAACTGGGATTGCCTGATAAAAAATTGGGACATTTTGGGGTACCACATTTCGTTTGTTGGATCATCATTTTTCCGAAACTTGCCATATGTATCCCCAGAGATGTGTAGAAAATCAATCAATCCCATCCCCCTATGGAAAAAAACAGCCCCAAGAAACCATGGTCTTTTTGGGGCACGGAGTTTACACAGATGACTGGAACCATCAACCATGCGGGTGTTCCATTTTGCTGGGATGGGGATTTCACAGCAAACCACTCACGTAAAAGCCATCGATGATTGTTGGAGTACAGCGGAAAATTGATACATATATATTGAGCAAAAGCAGAATATTTGGGTGTACCGGATTTTGACCCGCACCCGACCTGTTTGAAAGTGGGGCTAGCCTTTTTTGTATCACTCTTTGCAACTCAGTGGGCCGTCCCATTTGATTGGTCAAACACAGTGAGGCCATCAAATCTGAAACTCTGTTGAGCAACAGCCATTTCAGACATGGCTTTCTGACTGAGTACATGATCGGATTGCAGCAGATCCCCCTTGCTGAGATGAGCTAGGCAAGCAGGACTGCAATGATAAGCGTCTCTAAGATGTAACCATGTAATATGTGTGTGTGGGTTAAGCTAGGCATATCCTATCTGATTATTAAACCCAATCATTTAACTCACCCTCTGATCAATGGAATATGATTGTGTCAATCTCAGTTTGTCTTGCTCGTTTAGCATACAAGTGCAATCAATCAACAAACAGATAGGCTGTCAAAACATGTAATATATCCCAAATCCAATGCTTAATCTTAATCATATGTTGTTCCTATGAACATGTTAATATGGCCATGTTTGGGCGTATGACCCAGTTTCAGACACACGCATATCTATTATGCATCGTGTAATTCTCTTATTCATTGATTGATTTTTATATTCAATTTGTGCGGCTTCCTAAGTGCAAGTGAGATGGTTACGCCACCAGTTTTGATAGGTAAATCCTGTGTTATAC